ATATATATATATATATATATATATATATATATATATATATATATATATATTGAACAAATATATAAAAATATTAATTATTTGTAACTTAATAGAGAATCGGAACTATTTTTTACATGAACAATAGTTTAGTGTTTGAAATATTACAACGGGCCATTAGCTCAGTTGGTTAGAGCGTCGTGCTAATAACGCGAAGGTCGCAGGTGCGTGACCTGCATGGGCCATCTCACATTTCATATCCACTTAAAAGTAAAATCTCTTATATATTAAGAATCGTATATTTAAACAATGCAATAAATTAACCTACATATAATTTGAACTTAGAAACTATTTTTATTATTTAAAAGTTTAGCCCTAATTTGGCTGTTACTATAATTTTTAAATAATTTAAATTTTTTTCCAATATTAATCTTGTACTATCTTTATTGAAATATGTTATCTTATAACTGAATCTACGATATTTCAATGCATTTCACGATCATTTCATATTTTTATGGGTTTTTCAAATTTATTTTAGCATTTTTTTCATCTTAGCTGTGTATCATATTAACTGTCCTACTCTCTTTGAAAAGATAAAACCAATTTCGTAAATGCAAAATATTTAACTTGTAACTCCAGTTTTTGGATTGTCTATGGCAATTTAAATTGATGGGTTTGTGCTTCAGATGAAAAAGCTATGATAAAACTATCTCATTTTATTATGTTGACTTTAAATAATTTATTTTTTTCCCCAATATTAATTCTATACTATCTTTATTGAAATATGCTAAAAAGTTAATAATACTATTAATACACACGATATAATGTACTAATGAATACATCTAATATAAAGTATAATAACTAATACATAATCCACTCTATTTTCTAGAGTAAGATAGTTGTCTTTCGAAAATACCTTCGGTGGCCCATTAGCTCATTGAAGGGTAAAGAACAACGGAAAGCCATTATGTGAAGTCCTCTTAAAAGCTTATGGGGAGACAGACGCCTTATGTTTCTTTTTCACGTTGGTGTCACAAGTGAAATATTCCACTTCATTACCTATACATATTCGAGTTCATTTGCATATGAGTCAACATTCTACTTTTCAAGTTAAAGGTTTTATTGCTTATACTCTCCAACCGATTTATGAGTGAGCGTCGGAGGATAATTGTCGAGCCATCCATTGCGTGTCACCTAGAATTTTTCATGATTTATTTTCAGATTAACGAGCGGTGTTCTCCTCTTCGACTAAAACAACTTGGGCTAAAACAACTTTTCGGTTGAGCAATCGACAACTGAGCATCATGAAACACATAAACGGTGGGTCGATGTTTTCTCTATTGAACAAAACTTAAATCAGTGACATTGGAGTTCAAGTAGATATCTCTTTGAATGTTATAACAATAGAAATTGTATTAATTTATTTTAGTTTATTATATGTTTCAAAATTATAACAAAATCTCACAAAATACAAGACATAAAGTTATATAGATCCACATTGTTGGATTTTCAATTGAACTTGAACATTTCATTTGGGTGAGTTGTGATGAATACTATAGGTACTACAAAAATTGTATGTTTGTAATCATTCCAGCATACTATACTTTAATTATAACTTATTTTACTGTCAGTATAACTGATTCTACAATATTTCAATGCATTTCACGATCATTTCATATTTCAATGATATTTTCTAATTTATTTTTGCATTTTTTCATCTTAGCTTTGTATCATGTTAACTATTCTACTCTCTTTGAAATGATAAAAACCAATTTTGAAAGTGCAAAATATTTAATTTGTAACTTCATTTTTTGGCTTGTCTGTTGCAATTTAAATTTATGCGTTTGTGCTTCGGATGAAAGAACTATGATAAAACTATCTCACTTTATTATGTTGACTTTATTGTATATCGTGGACTCCTTTGCCAGTCGAAGAGGCCACCCGGGATGACGCAGATGGGATGATGAAGAAGTGTCCAAATGTGCAGTTACAAGACATGGCTGATGAAATGTTGGACAAATGTCGTGATTAGGTTTTACATGTTGGAATTCTGGTTAATAAAATAGATGAAGCGGCCATGTTTTGAATAAAAATGGGGCCAACTTTCATTTAAGAAAAACGCAACCTGTCAAACGCAATTCTCTGACTTAGTACACGCAAGAAAAGCACACGTAGAGTATCTCCACTTCAGAACTATGGATCCAGTGTTGGAACTAGAAGGATTTACTTTAAATATGGAAATAACTGTGGAAGGAAATAACTAGGTTATATTAATAAGTATGGATTAGTTAGCAGTAGTTAGATTATAGTATGCCGTAACCCTAATCCCTAGCTCCTATCTAGTTGTTTTCAACACTTTGCAATGCAACAAAGCCATATCTTTTCCATTGAGGTATCGTATGAAGTCGGAGCTCGATTTTGTAGCAAGTTTTTGATGATTTCTAAGTTTTTTCTTTCTTTCTTTCTAGTGTGTTTAAGTCCTAGTCCATGAGGTAGTTATGTTTATCAGTAATCTCTGGCAGGCGTGCGAATTGAGAGACGTGTACATTAGTGAAGGTGTTAGTTAGCAAAATATGGTTTATAATATGTTTAACTAATTTTGAAATCATAGTTTATGCACGACCTTTAAATAATAAAATTTTACTTAAATATAAATTAAATTCATTTTTTTTAACAATATTTATATGAGTTTAAGTGTTGTTATGACTTTCAAAGTAGTTTACCATTTTTTCAAGATTTCGTTTGTACTATATCTATTAAATATATTTAAAATCTTAATAATATAATTAATATACACATACATGTATTCAAAAACACATAAAATATAAATTATTAGTAACTTGATAGAGAATCCGGCCTATTTTTTCAGGAACATTAGTTTAGTCTTTGAAAATATTTCCAACGGCCCATTAGCTCAGTTGGTTAGAGCGTCGTGCTAATAACGCGAAGGCCGCAGGTTCGAGACCTGCATGGGCCATCTCTAATTTCATAACCGCTTGAAAATAAAATCCCTTATCTATGAAGAATTGTACATTTTAACAATGCAATAAACACTAACCTACATATAATTTGAACTTTCAAAATATCATTATTA